ATCACATCACTCATTTTTATCATATATTTAATTATTTAATATTTGATTAATTTGTAGTTAATATATTTTTAATAAAATTAATATAATGGGATCGATTTTTTGGACGTTCGAATTTTATATTTTATCGTACTTTTAGGCACACGGGTTAGGACTAGTGTTTTCATATTTTAGTTGACAATGGACGGTGGAACAAAGGATGGTTCAAGTAGGAACAACTAAGGCACTTTCTTTTAAGTTTGAATCTTGACAATTCTTAAAATTAGACTATGAAAAATTTATCTCTTATGAATACCTTAATTTCGGTGTAAATAGTCTATCTCTGACCAAATTGAAAAATATATTAATTAAGATGTACATAAATTAGTCCGAACACCTCTACCCATTAAACTTAAAAAGGACAATGGACGGTGGAATGTTGAGATTGTATGCTACATTTAGTAATATCGTATAAAAATATATTCAATTTACATTGGATTATTTATACTTGTGTATACGTGTTAGTGGAGTTTGTGTTATTTTAACCAGGTTTGTGTGAACCAATATATCAAGTGATTCTAAATCCACCCCTTTACCTTCCAAAATTTCCAAGATTTAGCCTAAACCCGCTAATAATATCATATTGTTTCTATAGATCGTGTTTAAGAACTGTGAGGTCGACAAGAAGCGACAATGACCACAGAAATAAAAGGTACAACAACCTAAAACAATGCTTTTCTCTTTTTGCCACTATAATAAGTGGAAGAATATGGAACAGGAAATTCAAACCCAATCCTCCAACTTCTATTCCTTTCAGTTCCTTTTTAGTGTGCATACAACAGTACAGAGGAATTTATACACTGGATTCAAAAACACTCGCACTAAAGGAGGAAAAGTAAAACAAATCAAAACCATGAGTCTGTAGCCTGGGGATGCCTTTAAAAATCTACAAATCAAACCCAACCTCTCTTGTATCGGTCAAAGAGTTCTTCAGTCTGAGCATTTTTGAGTGCACTGCATGCTATAACATAAACCCATATCAGCACCACCACCGCTACAATCAGAATCACGTTAGCTTTCCTCCATTCCCTTCTCAGGTTCCCCAGCAGACCAGCCTTGCAGGAATCACAGTTGTAGCACAATTGGTTTGGATCATTGTTCCAAATGGAACAGTCCGGATCCGCAATCGTGGTCGCCGGGTTAATCCACATTACAGGGTTTACATACTGGTATCCACATATATTTGGAGGCTTACAACATCCTGACTGTTCACGACAAGAAGGATATTAGCAAGAAGATAACAAAAAAGCAAAAGAAAACACCTACCAAATAACTAATGCCACATAGGGTTGTCGAGTGAGTCATATTGTATGAAACAATCTCATCATTTCGGGTTTGTGTGAAGTACTAATCATTTTTAATTCAGTTTATTTAATTAATCATATCAGATATCCTAACACTTGGTTGATTAGTTTGTAAATTGTGACATATTCGAGTAGACATGCATAACCTGTAAACCAAAAAGGCGAGATTATAACCCATATTTTCCCTCAATCAAACCCAGCGCCTATGAACGTCCTCTAAACAAAAAATGCAATCAATCAAAGTTAGGCCACCCCTAATGTCACCACGCCTGAATCCAAATAATTTGAACTAGGGTAGAATATAACCATAAATAATGAGAACTGACTAGTTATGATTTGGCATATCGCCCAAGTTCACATTCTAAAATTCGGCCCACTTTAGAGAAATTCTTTTTAACGGGTCCAACTTTAGGGTATCCGATGCCATCATATACTATTATGTTAAAGCTGACAATCATAAAATGCTTTCATATATTTCAGCAATAAGGTCAATGTATGATCGATCTCAATTGTTCTAGATTGATTGGATTAGGTGTAAACTTTGCTGAGATTACAAGTTAGAAGTGAAAAAATAGTTGCTATTATAAATGGCACCATAAGCTTGGTTGTACCCCTACTGACTGGCCCACCATTAGGCGAGACCATTTAAACAAAGACAGACAGATTGATGTATTTAGATCTTGAAGGTTTCATCTGATGGACCATATTATTATTCAGCCTTATGCATATGGTGTGTAGGCCCACTAGTATGATATTAGTCAAACATTATATAGTGATGTAAATTTTGACCAGTAAAAAAGTAGTTGAAGAATTAGATGAACAAAATTATGAACTAATAGATTATTACAAAGAACAAACTTTAATGGTGGATCCTACATATTCTCTTTTGTATTGTTCAAAAGTAAGCATCTCTGACGGATAATTTAAAACACACAAAATCTTCAAATTTTAACTATTTAGCTTAAAAATTTTATTCCAACAGATTATTTTCAAAACATCTAAAATAACATTTTGCTGTAGCGATATGTAAAAAAATTTTATAATATTTTCTCTCTCCTCCTCTCCTTTCTTCCATTTTCTCTCCTTCTACCTTTTATTATTCTCAAAAAAAAATAATAGAAAAGGAATGAGAAATATTATTTTTTAAAAAAGATTAGTTAAAAATATAAAAAATTTGTTGGAGTATATATGAAAAAAGTAACTAATCTAGCCACACATTTATTGGATTAGATTACTGTTACTTATTCATTACATACACTTCTTTAGCTCTTTATGTACAAAATTTTACATCAGTCAAAAATTAACAAGAAATTCAATTACAAAGGTTTTATAAAAGATTTGTAATCCCTACAACATGTATTTTCACATATAAAACACTAAGTTCTAAGTGATTTCATCATATCCC